TGTAGAAAGGTTTGTCTGGGAATTTCTCTGGGTTGGGGAATTTCTCTGGTTATTTGTTTATGAGCGTGTTCTGGTTAGCTCCTTAGTTCATCATTCTTGGGATTGGAGATGGGTTTACACTTGTTGGCCTACAAGAGTACTTCTATGATCAAGTTCCAGATTCAATGAATTTGTGTGTGTACGTGTGGTATATATATGGTGTGTGTTTGGACTAGTGAACTGATTTTTTTTTTCATTTGAATTGAATTTTCTCTGGGTTGAAACCAGAGAAATTCTCTGGTTTTTGAACTGAATTTTCTTTGGGTTGGTCTAGAGAAATTCTTTGGTTTCGAGCTGGAACCTGGAATGCTTAATTTGTATAAAACCTAATGTTTGTGAAATCAAATTTTGAAACCCCCTTGTTAAGAAGGAGAGCAATATTGATGTTGTTCGATTTCATCTCTCATTCTCTCTAGGGAAATTCTCATCTAGGGAAATTCGGGAATTTTTTTGGAGAGAATTTCTCTGGAAAAGGCCAGAGAAATTCTCATAATTTGCTTGACACCAAGAGTGAAGGCAAGCAAAGCAGCAAAACACAGAGTTATTTGTGAGAAAATTAGAGAAAATTCAACCCTAGAGAAATTTCAAAATATAGAAAATCAAAAAAATTGAACTAACCAGAGAAATTTCTGGGTTGAAATTTCTCTGGACAAAATTTCTCTGGACCAGAATTTCTCTAGATCAAATTGAGGGACCTTAGACATTATGAAAATATTAGATGTCCTTTATACTATAAAGTCTTAATACTAAGGACCCTAAAAAAAATCCCAAAAAAATACTGTATATGGGATGGTAAATTAACCGATTCAATTGTATTTGTTATAAAAAAAGATTTGAGAAAACATTAATAGGGTAGGGCAAATTATAGGCTAAGAACGTTTAAGAATAGAATAAAATATGAAATTGTATCACCAAAATGATTGAAATTAAATTAAAAATTCACAGAAAAATCCGGCCCATACTGAAAGCCTTGTTTTTTGACCAGCTGGAATTTTTATTTATTTATTTAAAACAAAAAACAAAACGGGATTGCTTTGACATTAGTATTTTAAAGTTAGATCTAAACCGTTCATTATCATAATGTGTCTAGTTGTGATTAAAACCACAGGAAGTTTGACAAGTAGTTAATTTAGTTTAAAAAATTCAAAAAATTACTTAATTTTTTTTTAAAAAAGTCATAATATTTTTTTATTTTGTGTCATATAAAAAAGTTTTACTTTCAATTAAAAATAACTGATAATATAACGTGTTCCAAATGGAACGGGTCGGACTGATCCACGCTTCCCAAACCAGTGCCCGAGGTACCAAGCCCACAGAGGAACCTACACAAAAGTTCGACGGGGAACGGGGAGTCTCCAGCGAACCCTCCGACAAGCAAGTTAGAAAAAGAGATAGAATGTAGAGATAGATTAGAGATAGAGAGCTTAACCTTCTTCTAGTCTTCAACGTCTGCTTATATCCTCTGGTAATCATTTCGTTGTCCCATCCGACCTGTCATCTTGGCTGAAAGTCTATGCTCTAGCTTGCCTTGTTCATAGTGAGGCCGTTCCGTCTCGACGGGGAGGGGTTATTGCAATAAATGCTGTAAGGGACTTCATTAATGGTTGATGTGCAGTGCAATAACTTTGTAGGATCTTTGTCTACTTATATGGCTTGTCCTTCTTTTGCCTCGTGTTTAGATGTCATTGGTTCTTAATGCCATGTTGAGCTCCAACAACGCTGGGCTGTAGTATTTGAATTATGTATTGGGCCCTAAGTGGTGGGCTATAACCTTTACGGGCTTACCTATGTCAGTAGTCCCCCATTCCCAAGTGCAGCTTTAGTCCAACGAAGGGAATAATGAAGAAAACGATGGTTGTTAGAGATTTTCGGGGCGAAGGCTGACCGAGAGGTGGGCCGACGGCAATGTGTGACCGCGAAGGGCGACCGAGTGGAGGGACCGACCATGAGGAGGGCCGACCATGAGGAGTGACCGAGGGGAGGGACCGACCATGAGTAGGGTCGACCGCAAAGGGTGACTGAGTGGAGGGACCGACCACGAGGAGGGCCAACCGTGAAGGGTGAACCGATCATGAGGAGGACCGACCGCGTAGAGGGACCGACCATGAGGAAGGGTGACCGCATGGAGGGACCGACCATGAGGAGGGCCGACCGCGAGGGGTGACGGAGTGGAGGGACCGACCATGAGAAGGGCTGACCACGAAGGGTGAGTGGCGGTGCACGGGGTTCGCGGGGCAACGGTGTACGTGGTGAAGTGAAGTGGAATGGACAGGGAAGGAAAAAGGGGCAGTGGATCGTGGTCGTACACGTGGCAGAATCCCGTAGTGGGGAAGGTTAGGTGTTGAGCAAGAAATGAAGCGATAGTTTAATACAGGGTGTTGAAAAGATAGTTTTGGCAGATTTTTGAAAATTTTCAAACTGGCAAAATTTAATTGTAACTCTTGGAATATAGGCAAGCCTTGGGCTTTTGGTATTATCCGTTTTACCTATCTTTTTGCAAAAAATCAAAACGTCCCAAAAGTAAACTCGTTTGTTGCCAGTGATACGCCCCTGCAACACTTTGTGGACTTTCTTATGCCCGTATTCGAAGCCATTCACAGGCACACAAGAGAAATGGCCCAAGAGGAAGCAACAACCGCAAAGGCGTGATGCGTTAGGCGACAATAACGCGGTGGAGCTGGCGGAACAGTACCGTGTGGAGCGAAGGGAAGGAGGGGTAGTTGGTGAGGCTGTGTGGGCTCGCCCAGGGACAATTATTGCAGCCGCGAGACCTATTAGTCAAGTGGAGTCGGACCACTGGCACACCAAACCGGACAGATCCATACTTACGGCAGAGGAGTTGAAGGGAATAAGGAGGAAGTACCAAATTTCCTCAGAGATAGGGTTAAGGTTGCCCACATCCAAGGAAAGGGCGTCGGATGTGCGGCCGGGCGAATTCAGCCTATACGAGGAAGCGTTGCGAGGGGGTTTGAGGCTACCTCTCCCCCAAATAGTGGTGGATGTGCTAAACAAATTAGAAACGGCGCCGGGGTAGCTGATGCCGAATGCTTGGAAGATAGTAATGGCCTGCGCGAGTGCCTTGCAGCAGGTGACCGGAGGAACGGCAATGACAGTAGATGAGTTCTTTTCCTTCTACAAGGCCTCTGGTCAGCAAGAGACTTGGGTGACTCTGCAAGTAGTGGCGGGGCGAGGTCTGGTGGCAGGTCTTCCATCTTCGGTAAAGGGGTGGAGGCCGAGATGGTTCTTTGTGATGGTGAACGGTGGAGCAGGAGTGCACACAACGTGGAAGGTCCCCACCATGTCAATTGAGCCCAAGTTGGACGGGGCGGCCGATGACCGAGTGAAGAGGGTGAGGAAATGGAGGGAAGAGAAGAGGTGAGATGGGACGAGCTGGTCCTTCCTTCAACGTTGTTTGCCCTGAACTTGGGACCGCAACCGTTAGGGGAGAATCCGGTAAGGGAGGAGTTGGAGGTGCAGAGGAAGGAAGATGAGGAGGAGGAGAGGAGATTGTTCACCAGAGCGGACAAGTACAAAGAGGCAAACTTGGGGCCTGCTCCGAAATTGGTAGTGAATGAGAGGATTTGACCTTGCCCTAAGCCTTTGGGGGACAAGAACCTGATTGAGTTTGCCCTATTGCCACAATCCATAGACCCACTGAAGGAGAGGGGCAAACGAGAGGTGGAGGCAAGGCTGAAGAGGTCAAAGAATATGAGGGTCGCCACTGAGGGGGCTAAGGATGAGCTCGGTTCGAAGAAGATGAGGGTTGGTGGCGAGGACATGCTCATGGCGAACAATGCAGTGGAAGGGGGAGTGGGGGTTACTCTAGAAGGGTTGGTTGTCCCAGAGGTGCAAGGGGACGAAGGTCAAGGGGCCAAAGTGGAAAAAGAACACATGAGTGCCATGGGCCCCGAGATACAAGTGGAAGGTGGGTCTGTTGGGCTTGAGAAGGGGGCAGAGCAATGGCCTAAGAGGAGGCCTACGCCCCAAGGAGAGGGAGAGAGGACCAAGTTGAAGACTGCCATCTACCACGCTCCAGCGGTGTCTGGGCGATTGGAGGGGGAAGGACTGCTGCCGATCGACTTTTGGGGGTGGTAGAAGACGTGGCCGTGTGTTCGTTGACCAGTTTCACAGAGGTTGAACTACTAAGGGGGCTGTGCTTGGCCCAGATAGAGGCGACAGCCTTGTCAGGAGCCTTACTGAACAAGGCGGCGACTACAAAAGGCGAAGTTAGGCCACTGAAGGCAAAGTTGGAGGAGGTGGAGGCCCAACTTGAAAGTTTGAGGAGGGAGACTGCAGGGTAGAGAAGGACCACACAGAGTGCGTATGTGAGGGAGCTGGAAGAGGCCCAGAAAGCCAAAAAGATGGAGGTGTTGGCGATGGTGCAGGCCTATTCAGCTGACCGTGCCAATGCTGAGTTGCTCGCCACCAAGTTAGAGCTGGAGACGGAACGCCGCAAGGTGGTGTCGCTCGAGTTCCAGTTGGCTGGCGAGCAGAAGAAGCTGGAAGAGGCCCAGAAAGCCTGCATCGTCGCTAACGAAAGATGGGACGAAGCCATGGTCTGCAATGAAGATCTGCGCGCTCAGTTGATCAAAGAAAAGGAAGAAGCAGATCTAAAGATCGCTGAGTTGGAGTGGGCGCTGGCAGACGAGAGGGTCAAGTCGATGGCTGAGAAGACAGGGCTAAAGAATGCCTTGGAGGAGGAGAAGACCAAGTTGGCATATGAGAGGGCGGCGTACCCCGATCTATGTGTTGCAGCAGTAGAGCAGTTTAAGGGGTCTGCCGACTTCCAGATGGCTATTGATGCCGCAGGCACCAGCAGCTTGGCGAGAGAGGGGGATAGGGGGGCTGGCCCATCAGGAGCGACCGCTGGAAGTAGGAGCGAAGAGGAAGTGATCCAGAGATTCCAACGGTCGGACTTCTACAAACATGAGATGGCTAAGTTCTAGGACAGCGGCTGGAAGATGTTTAAACGTAAAGTAGAAGAGCTGTTCCCAGACTTGGACTTCAGTAATGTTAGAATAGACGAAGACGATGTGGCCCAGACCCCCTTAGATGAAGGGGTTGACGAAGAAGACCTTGCCTTGAGCGAGTATGAATGATTTATGTGAAATTTTGCATTTGTAAATAAAATTTGGTTGTTGTTGTTGTTGTTGTTGTTTTTTTTTTTTTTTTTTTTTTGTTTGTAATTTCTGTAGTGAACTTATGTGTAAGTTTGTGAATGAATGAAATTATGAGTTGTGTTTTTCATACTATTGTCTCTTTTCTTTTTCTTTTTTTGTGTGGATCTAAAAAGAATGAGAATGGTCATTCACATAAGACTTGTGTAAAAATCACAGTAAAGGTTGAGAAGTAGGGAGCCAGTCTAACTTGTGAGAATGTTAAAAAATGTGAAATGTTAAATCACGACCCAACAGAGAGCCATTCTAACTTGTAAAATGTTGAAATGTAAAGGTCTTAAAATGTGAAGTTTTAAGGCATGTTGTAAGAGTGTTGAGAAATGAAAGATTGGGTTGGGAAATGAAAATTAAAAAATGTAAAGAATGTTAAGAGGTGTAAAAGCATGGTCTTGAAATTTGACTAAGTGTGGCGACTATGCCACAAACATGAAGTTGCAAGAATGGCCTTGGCCGAGCTCTTTATGCTCAGTCTGGCTGAGGCTTTAAGTAACTCAGTCTGGCTGAGGCCTCAAGTAACTCAGTCTGGCTGAGTTCTTCATGCTCAGTCCGGCTGAGGCTTTAAGTAACTCAGTCTGGCTAAGCTCTTCGTGCTCAGTCTGGCTCAGGCTTTAAGTAACTCAGGCTGGCTGAGCTCTTCATGCTCAATTTGGCTGAAGCTTTAAGTAACTTTGTCTGGCTGAGCTCTTCATGCTCAGTCTGGCTGAGGCTTTAAGTAACTCAGGCTGGCTGAGCTCTTCATGCTCAGTCTGGCTGAGGCTTTAGGCAGGTCGTTATTGAAATACCACACAGATAACTGAGATATAAGATTGTTGTCATTTAAAGTGTAGCCCATTGATAAAAAATTTACACCATGTCAAATTTAACCTCAACTTGGCCATTGGCTTGGGGATGACCTGAGGAAGAGAAACATGGCTGGATTTGAAGTTCTGCACAGAATTTTCTGAACTTGGCATTGTCGAATTGTTTGCCGTTGTTAGACACGATGGCTTGAGAGATACCAAATCAGCACACGATCGACTGCCAGATGAATCTGGTTGTGTTCCGCTCGATAATTGTGGCAAGGGGTTCCGTCTCCACCCATTTAGTGAAGTAATCAATGCCAACAATTGTGAATTTGGTTTGGCCTTGGCCAGTCGGCAATGGGCCAACAAGGTGGATCCCCAATTTGGCAAATGGGTAAGGACTACAAAATGTGATCAATTCTGTAGAAGGAGCGTGGGGGATGTTAGCAAAGCGTTGACACTTATCATATTTAAGCACGAATTTAGTGGCATCTTGGTTGAGAGTAGGCCAGAAGTAACCAGTGCGAAGTATTTTGTGGGCTAGTGACCTGGCACCTGAATGATTACCACATATACCCTCGTGAACTTCTCTCATCACGTAGGTCGCTTGAGCAGGATTAAGGCATCTCAGGTATGGGCATGAAAAGCCACGTTTGTACAAGAGGCCGCTAATGAAAATGTAGTTGGACGACCAGGCCCTGACTTTGGTGGCCTGCTGTTTTTCGTCTGGCAGTTCCCCCTGTGTCAAAAATAGAAAGTTGTCGGCCGCCTATGGAATAGGTTCGTTTTGGAGGAAGTAGACTTGTTGCTGGTTGGGTGAAATGGCAGGGTGGGCCAAATACTCGAGGCAGACACCATGGTTGAGGTCGGACTGGTCTGCAGAAGCCAATTAAGCCATCTCATTTGCCTTGGAATTTTTCGCCCGAGGGATGTGCTTGATGTGGAAAGTATTGAAGAGGTGGGCAAGGGGGAGTGCAATATCCCTGTAAGCCCGCATTGTGTCTTCCTTGGCATCGAATTCCCACGTAATTTGTCTGACAATAAGCTGGGAATCGCTGAACACCCGGATATGGCTGACACCAATGTCTCTGGCTAAGCGGAGACCTGCGATCAATGCCTTATATTCGGCCTCATTATTGCTTGCGTCGAACAAGAAGCGGAGAGCACACTTAAAATAACCACCCTCGGGGGCAGTGAGGATGAGATCATCCCCACTGCCTTCTTTGCGGGATGATCCGTTGACGTTGAGGGTCCAAGAATGGGGGTCTTCTGCCTCAGTGTGGGATTGCGGGGGCGGTGGGGCCGTGGTTGGAGTGTGATTAGTGAATTCCAGGATGAAATCGGTAATAGCCTGCCCTTTGATCGCCGTTTGAGGTCGGTAGGAGATGTCAAATTGGCTGAGCTCAACCGACCATTGCATGAGTCTGCCGGACAGCTCGGGCTGTTGCATTATCTTCTTCAAAGGATGATCAGTGAGGACCACTATGGTGTGGGCTTGGAAGTAAGGAGAGAGTCGTCTTGAGGCGATGACTAGGGCCAAGGACATTTTTTCTAGCAATGGGTAGTTCTATTCGGTGCCTCTGAGAGCCCAGCTAATATAATAAACCGGGCGTGTACTGAACCGTCTTCCCTGATGAAGGCCGCACTGACTGCGGTGCTCAAGACGGCTAGATAGAGAAAAAGAGGCTCGCCCGTGAGTGCCTGGGAGAGTAAGGGGGGGTCGGCCATGCACTATTTCAACTGTTGAAAGGCCTTTTCGGATTCGGTCGTCGACTCAAAAGTCTACCGAAGAACTTTGAAGAAGGGAAAGCACTTGTCCGTTGCACGGGAAATGAAGCGGTTGAGGGCGGCGACTCTGCCAGTAAGCCTTTGAACTTCCTTAACCGTTCTGGGTGACTGCATTTCTACCAAGGCATTGATCTTTTCGGGGTTAGCTTCGATGTCTCGCTGACTGACCATAAAATCCAAGAATTTCCTAGATCCTATGCCGAAGGCGCATTTCTCCGAATTGAGCTTCATTTGATACTTTCGTAGGGTGCCGAAAGTCTCTCGCAGGTCGGCCAGATGATCAGTGGAGAGTTTGCTCTTGACTAGCATGTCATCGACGTATACCTTCATGTTCTGGCCTATCTAATGATGAAAGACGGCGTTGACCAACCGTTGGTAAGTGGCCCCGGCATTTTTCAACCCAAATGGCATGACACAGTAATGATAGGTTCCCCGGTCGATGATGAAGGAGGGGTGTTCCCGGTTAGACGGGTGCATCAGAATTTGGTTGTACCCAGAGAAGGCATCCATGGAGCCGAGCATTTGATGGCCGGCCGTGGCATCAACAAACAGGTCTATGCGAGGAAGAGGATAATTGTCTTTGGGGCAAGCTCAGTTAAGGTCGGAGTAGTCGACACAGAGTCGCCATTTACTATTGTTCTTATGGACTAGGACCACATTTGACAGCCACCTGGGGTAGTCCACATTTTTGATAAACTGTGCCTCAAGGAGCTTGTCTACTTCAGAAGCAATAAGGGTATTGCGCTCCGGGTGAAAGATGCGCTGCTTCTGGCGGAAAGGTCGAAAATGAGGCTCAATGCTGAGATGATGGGTGATGAAGGAGGGGTCAATACCCGGCATGTCGGAGTGGGTCTCGGCAAATGCATTGTTGTGCTCAATCAAGAGGGCAATAAGGTTAACCTTGGCCTGGGGGGATAGTTGGCTGCCGATCTTGGCAATTTTTGTGGAGAGTTTGCTCTTGACTAGCATGTCATCGACGTATACCTTCATGTTCTGGCCTATCTGATGATGAAAGACGGCGTTGACCAACCGTTGGTAAGTGGCCCCGACATTTTTCAACCCAAATGGCATAACACAGTAATGATAGGTTCCCCGGTCGATGATGAAGGAGGTGTGTTCCCGGTTAGACGGGTGCATCAGAATTTGGTTGTACCCAGAGAAGGCATCCATGGAGCCGAGCATTTGATGGCCGGCCGTGGCATTAACAAATAGGTCTATGCGAGGAAGAGGATAATTGTCTTTGGGGCAAGCTCAGTTAAGGTCGGAGTAGTCGACACAGGGTCGCCATTTACTATTGTTCTTATAGACTAGGACCACATTTGACAGCCACCTGGGGTAGTCCACATTTTTGATAAACTGTGCCTCAAGGAGCTTGTCTACTTCAGAAGCGATAAGGGTATTGCGCTCCGGGTGAAAGATGCGCTGCTTCTGGCGGAAAGGTCGAAAATGAGGCTCAATGCTGAGATGATGGGTGATGAAGGAGGGGTCAATACCCGGCATGTCGGAGTGGGTCTCGGCAAATGCATTGTTGTGCTCAATCAAGAGGGCAATAAGGTTAACCTTGGCCTGGGGGGATAGTTGGCTGCCGATCTTGGCAATTTTTGTTGGGTTGGTGGGATCGATGGGGACCTCGACAAGCTATTCCACTGGTTCCCCTCTGACCAGCTCATCCTCGTCCCTGACGTCGAGCCCTTCAATGATCATAGCTTCCTTTAGCTTAACCTCTTTAAGTAAAGTGACGTAACATTCCCTGGCCACGGTCTGCTCGCCCCTCACTGTGCCGACCCCAAGGTCGGTGGGAAATTTGACGGCAAGATGGAAAGTGGATGTAATAGCTTGGAAAGCATTTAGGGCGGTACGGCCAAGGATGATATTGTAAGCAGAGAGACAGTCAACGACGAAGAAGGTGAGCAACTTTGTGGTTTGCCGCGGGTATTCTCCGATTATGAGGGGAAGGTCGATAGAGCCGATGAAGGTCACGTGATCTCCAGTAAAATTGACCGATGGGGTTTGGAGAGGGGACAGACTTTCTTCCTCGATCTTGAGTTGGCGGAAGGCATTTAGGAAGATGATGTCTGAAGAACTGCCGTTGTCGACGAGAACTCGTCTGACTTTGTAATTGGAGAGGAGGGCAGAGATGACGAGAGGGTCGTCGTGGGGGTAACGGATACCTGTGCAGTCGGCCTCCGTAAAGGTGATAGGCTCCATCCACTACTTGGGCTGTTTGGAGGGTCGGTCTAATGTGGCAACTTCTTTGTCTGAGCCCTGTCTTATTTTTCTGAGTTTTGCCCGCTGAGCTGAGCGGGATGGTCCTCCACAAGCAAGCCCGCCAGCTATAACTCTGATCTCTCCAACAGGGGAAGCGCGATTACCTTGTGCCCGGGGTTGTTGTGGAGGGCAATCATGACCTTAATTAGGTTATGCGAGTTGTCGGGGAGAGGTGCCCCAGCAGTTATTTCTAACGGGTTCAGTCATTTGCCTCTATTGAGGGTGGGCTTCTGTGAACTAACTGAGACGTTCCTGACATATCAGGCCCTCGACCTAGTCTTTGAGGTTAACACACTCCGCCGTGTTATGGCCGTGGTCCTGATGAAAGCGGCAGTATTTGGACTGGTCTCGCCAGTTGGAGGGAGACTGTGACGATTGTGGCCATTTTAGGGGATAATCTAGTTGAATCTGGTTCAAGACTTGTTCTATGGAGGAGTTGAGGGGTGTGTATCGTTCGAACCGGCCGGCCGGTGGGGTTGGCGCTGATCAGTCGGCTCTGGGTGGTCGGTCAGTATACTGAGGTGTTTGGTGATTGTATTGGGTGTTTCTAGCTTTTAAGTCCTTTCTCTTTTCTCTGGGGGTCGGTTTTTTGGCTGTAGGATCTTGCCGGGCGGCTAGAGAATCTTCGGCGTTCATGTATTTTTGAGCTTTGGAAAGTAGGGTTGCCATGGAGGTCGGGAGATTTTTGGAGAGGGAGAAAAAAAAATCAGATAATCGCAGGCCGACCATGAACGCCGTGAGGATGACCTTGTCATCGTTTCCGCTACCTGCAGGGCTTCGGTGTTGAAGCGAGTGATGAAGCTGCGCAGCGACTCCCCCGCGGTTTGAGGGATGTTGAGAAGCTGGGTTGCCGGATGCCGCTGTCGCTGGGCTCCAATGAAATGGCCGAGAAAGGAGTCACTGAGGTGCTGGAAAGTGGAAACAGAGTCTGCTGGCAGTTGACTGAACTAGAGTCAAGCCGACCCCTTGAGTGTTACGGGGAAAGCCTGACACATGATTTCATCAAGGAATGCATGGAGGATCATGAGGGTTCTGTAGGTCTCCAAGTGATCGACTGGGTCTATTGTACCGTCGAAAGAGTCGATCGTGGGCATTTTAAACTTAGGAGGTAGAGGTTTGTCCCGGATGGAGGCAACGAATGGTGAGTTGGTTGTGGTGGATGGTTTATTCGGTATGTTTTGCATGACTCCTTGGAGCTACAGCTTCATGGCTCGGAGTTCCGTGTCCCAGAAAGGGACGTTGTCACCACCGGACTGGAGCGGAGGTTGGACGTTATTGGCCTCTCCCTTGGGGGTGGGTGTCGGGGCCGATGAGTGTGGGATCCGAGGTGAAAGGTTCATATCTGGGAGAGGGGGTCGCAAGCCTTCCAAGTTGGGTGGATGGGGCTGCTGGATAGTATGGCTCGGGGCTCGTTCTTGGTTGAGTGGGACATCTAGAGGTGGTGGAGGAGGCATGGGAAGGTTTCTTTGGGTACCCAATAAACCCGACTCGCCCGCTTTTGTTGTTATTATTATTTTTTATTATTATTTCCCCCCCTTTTTCTGATCTCATCTCACCACACTAACCAAATATTTCATTCCTCTTCTTCGATACACACACTCTCTTTCTCTCTTTCTCTCTCCCTCCCCCAAAACCCTACCCGTACCGACGGCGACAATGATCGAGAGACGATCTACACTTAAAAAGCCACGGTGATCGACAATCTGCGTTTGTTTTTGGATCTGTATGCCCTCAGCCCTTTTTTGAGAGTCTCATATTAAAACCCTAACCCATTGGCATTCTTCGACCTGAAAGATGATCGACGATCGTGGTGTGGTGGTGAGATATTGTCTTCTCTTCTTCTCTTCTTCTCTTATTCTCCTGATTCTATAATCTGTTCGTTATGTAATTTTTTTTTTCCGACTTCGACTTCCTCTAAAGTTCTTATTTTCTGCAATCTGTTTGTAATCTATTCTATAATTTTTTTTTGTTCTGTAAATCTGTTCGTTCTTATTTTCTCTAACTTTTGCCAAGGTGCCCGATGCGGGTTTTCGACCTTGCGAGCTTCTTTTTATTTTCCTTTTTTTTTTTTGTTCCAGTTTGTTGTAGTTCTAAAGTGAAACCAGTGGAAGAGAGGTTCTACAGTGTAAAGAAGGTTACAGAGAGGGAAAAAAATGTAAGTTTCCTATTTTCTTCCCCTCTCTATATTATGCATTGAATCTGTTTACAATTTTAAAAAGCTCACAGAGACAGGAAAAATGATGCTGAATCTATTATTTGATATATTTTTTTTAACAATGTTACAATGTTATTTGTTATTTGATATTATGCATTGATGTAACTGAATCTGTTATCTATTATTATGCATTGAATCTGTTTACAATGTGACAATGTTATTTGATATTATGCATTGATATTTTTTTTTAACTGAATCTGTTTAAAATATATTTTTTTAAAATGGTGTAATTTTCCATTGTAGGCAAATTTTTAGGCAAGTGACAAATTTGTAGGCAAAGTGGTGTAACAATGTCAAGTGGATAAATTTGATAAACTGAATCTGTTTTTGGATATTGAATTTGTAGGCAAATTTGTGAATGAAAAATGGAAAAACTGAAGTCTGACTTATACATTTGAAGCATTAGCTTATAATTATAGTTATTTTTCTTTATGGTTTTAATTATAATTATAGTTTTTGCTTAGCTTGATATTCATTACTTAGAGGTTCTAAACAGTGTGAAGAAGCTTATAATTAAGTGGTGTTGAGATTGATTAGCTTGATAAGCATTGTTGAATTTGTTTTTTAACACTAAAATTCTTTAGAGAATTAGTCAGTGGAGAATGAATGAATATGAAGTCTGAATGAATCTGAAGCCTGTGGAGATATTCATATGTGTAAGATAGTCTTAAGTAAGTAATTAAGTGACCAGTAATTTATTCATAATTAACCTGTTTTTGAAAGAAAATCTGGTCAATGGTCACATACTTCTTATTTAACCTAGTTTATCTTATTTCTCAATCTTGTCAATTCACCTAATTCTGCTACCAATCTTGTCAATGCATGCATGATCAATTTAACAGATTCAATTACATTGTATGAGCTAAGAAATATAATATAAGTACTAAGTACGTAGACTTACTGAGTTGCTGAATCTGAGTTGCTGAATCTGCTTTAATAACAGATCAATGTACAAAGTAGGCTTACTGAGTTAACATTGTATGAGTTGCTAAGTAGTGATGTTTGTCTTCTTATTCATTCTCTTTCTTGTTCTATGTTGGGTTTTTGGCAGTTTATTTGATAATCTTTTACTCATAGATCCTCCAAGTGAAGAAACATTTTTTGTTAATCCTAATGTTGAGCCTGAATCATCTTCTATTGACCCCTCTACCCAACCTATTACTCCCCCTCCTAGACCACCCTTGGCCAAAAGTAGTAGTGTTGGGAGAGCACAATCAAAGGCCTGGGATCATTTTGAAAAGATTAAGGGTATTGATGGGAAAGATAGGGCTATGTGCAAGTATTGTAAGAAAGAATATATGGCAAGCTCTAAGAGTCATGAAACAAGTAATTTATTGACTCATTTGAAAAATTGTACAAAGTACCCATATAGGGATACTCAAGGGCAACAAACATTGGGATTTAAACCAAGACAAGTTGATGGGGAGGGTGATGTTGATGTTGTGGCTACATCATTTTCTATAGAAGTTAGTAGGAGGTATCTTGCCGAGATGATAGTAATTGATGAATTGCCTTTTAAATTTGTGGATGGGGTTGGTTTTAAAAGGTTTTGTAATGTCATGCAACCCAAGTTCAAGATTCCATCTCGACATACCGTAGCTAGGGACATTGTAGACCTATACACTAATGAAAAAGAGAGGTTGAAGAAACTTGTGAAGGGGCGTAGAATTTGCTTTACCACAGACACATGGACTTCCATACAAAATTTGTGTTACATGTGTCTAACAGCACATTTCATTGATGATGATTAGAAGTTACAAAAGAGGATCATTAATTTTTGGCAAGTTGAAGACCACAAAGGAGAAACTCTTGGGAAAAAAATTGAGGCACTCTTAAAAGAGTGGGACATTGATGGGCTTTTTACCTTAACTGTTGACAATGCGAGTTCTAATAATCTAACCATTAGATTCTTGAAACGAACTACAAAACTGTGGAAGGGAACTGTTTTGGGTCATGAGTTTTTACATATGCGTTGTTGTGCGCATATTCTAAATCTCATTGTTAGTGATGGATTGAAGGATCTTGAGTCTTGTATAGCGAATGTGAGGCATGCAGTGAGATATGTGAGGTCTTCTCCAAACCGTCTTGACACTTTTAAAAAGTATGTGGAAAGTTTGAAAATTGAGAGTAAGAGTCTCTTGTGCTTAGATGTGCCAACACGGTGGAATTCCACATACCTTATGTTGGAGGCGGCGGAAAAATTTGAGAGTGCGTTTCAAAGAATGGGTGAGGAGGACTACAATTATAAACACTATTTTTTGGATAATGAAGGGGTGGAGAGGAGAGAGATGCCTACAGCTGAGGATTGGGATAATTGTAGGGTGTTTTTGAAATTTCTTAAAATGTTTTACAATGCAACAAAGAGATTTTCTGGGTCTTTATTTGTTACTTCAAATACATTCTACGCGGAATTTTTTGTCATTGAAAACATGATTGGACAATTAATCAAAGACAATGATCCTATTTTGTCTTCAATGGAAGAGAAAATGAAAAAGAAGTTTGACAAGTATTGGGGAAATAGGGATAAAATCAATCTTCTTTTGTATGTTGTGGTTGTGCTTGATCCTAGAAGGAAAATGACATATTTGCAATTTTGTTTTTCAACAATTTTTGGTGGGGATGTGGTGAAAGTGAAAGAAATGTTAGACAAGGTGAAACATTGTTTGACTTAATTGTATGATCATTATGCCACACTTGATTCAACAAATGTGCATGTCTCCAATGTAAATGAAACAATAGATATGGTGATAGATGAAAATGATCCACATTCTATTGTGAACTCTCAATTTAACTCATTCTTAGAGGGTCAATTTTGTAGTAGTGGGAGTATATCGGAACTGGACAAGTATTTGGGTGATATTGAGAAAGGTGGGAAAAATGCTCAATTTGATATCTTGGAGTGGTGGAAGGTTAATGCAACAAAGTATAGAGTATTATCACTTATAGCAAGAGAAGTGTTGGCAATGCCTATCTCCACTGTTGCTTTTGAGTCGGCTTTTAGTACAGGAGGTCGTATATTTGATCCATTCCGTAGTTCACTTGCTCCCAAGATGGTGGAGGTTCTTGTTTATACACAAAATTGGCTTCGAAGTAACATTCCAATATGCCTTCGACAAGCAATGGATAATATTGAAGAATTTGAACAATAATATGATTCGGGTAATATATATATACAATGATTTATTTTGTTTTAAATTTTATTTATTTTGTATTATTCAAAATTCATTATCTTCACTTCACATATTTTTGTTGTATTATGTTTTATATGTAGTTGTTTCGGAATCAAGTTCATGTTCAAGTCCAAGTCTTGAGAGTAGTTATATTGAAGTTTAATATCATTGGTAAAATACTTCCCCTTTTCTATATTATGTTTACTCCACATGTTTTTGTTGTATTATGTTTACTTATTTTAAGTTTAAGACTTTTTAGTGTTTTCCTTGTTAAATAATTTCATTTTTTTTTTTATGCATGTTTGGCTCATGGCTCATGGTTCATGGTTTGGCTCAAAGAAATCAATGGCCTAAGACATTTTAAATTTTTTGGATGATTGTATTAACTATTAAGACATTTCAAATTTTTTGGATGATTGTGTTAACTATTAAGACATTTCAAATTTTTTGGATGACTGTAATATTTTATTTTGGATGATTTGTAATACTTTATTTTAGATGATTGTATGTTAAAAATTTGTGTTGCGTTGTTGTGTCCATTGTCCAAGTTTGTTTGTTTGTTTGAATCTAAATTTGAGCAGGTTGTTTTTGTATATGAGCAGGTTGTTCCATGTTCAGGTTGTTCTAAATTTACTAAATTTGAGCAGGTTGTTCTAAATTTGAGCAGGTTGTTCCATTTGAGCAGGTTGTTTTAAATTTGAACAAATAAACACTGTTTGTTTGTGTTTATTTAGCACATGCACTGAGCAGGTTCACCTAGGTGCAATGAACACACTATTTGTTTGTCTTTAGCACACACACTGTCTCTGTCTATTGGCAGATTGATCAACCCTGTGTTTATTATTATGCATGCACACACACCAATTAAGTTTGTTTGTTTTTGTTGTGTATGACTATATGTATTTGTTTTGCCCACTGCTGCAGTGTTTATGTATGCATTGCACATAGGTAGTGGTTGAGAAATTAAGTGCACATTAATTTAGTTAATTTTTTAGAAAGTGTACATGTTAAATTATGTCGAAAATTTGTAAAATTTTAAACCGCCAAACCGATTCGTATCCATCCGCCAATCCGCTCAATCCGTATCCGCCAGATTGGCGGACGGATGCGGATGGATTTTCTCAAATCCGCCAATCCGACGAACGGATGGCGGATTAGAGGTTCCGTGGCCGCAACCGACCCGCGACCACCCCTAGGGGGAAGGGGTCACAAGCCTTCCAAGTTGGGTGGATGGGGCTGCTGGATAGTATGGCTCGGGGCTCGTTCTTGGTTGGGTAGGATATCTGGGGGTGGTGGAGAAGGCATGGGAATGTTTCTTTGGAGTAGAGTATTAATCAAAGCTTGGTTTTGCTCGGCCAGGCGGTTAATGCTGTTGGTGAGCTCGGTAAAATACTGCGGTGGGTTGTTTGGATTGAGAGGGTCGGCTTGGTGGTCGGCAACATTGTGGTGAGAAGCCATGGATCTAGTTGTGACCATCCACCTTCACAGGTGGTAGGAAGGGGTTATTGGGAAAGGGTCTCCGGCGACAATGAGCACAACTGGCGCGCGGAGCAAAAGGTTTCCCACAAACGGCGCCAACTGATGATGCAACGTGTTCCAGAAGGAACGGGTCAGACTGATCTATGCTTCCCAAACCAGTGCCTGAGGTACCAAGCCCACAGAGGAACCTGCACAAAAGTTCGACGGGGAACGGGGAGTCTCCTGGCGAACCCTCCAACGAGCAAGCTAGAAAAAGAGATAGAATGTAGAGATAGATTAGAGATAGAGAGCTTAACATTCTTCTTGTCTTCGACGTCTGCTTATATCCTCTGGTAATCATTTCATTGTTCCTTCCGACCTGTCATCTTGGGCGAAAGTCTATGCTCTAACTTGCCTTGTTCATGGTGAGGACGTTTCGTCTCCACAGGGATGGGTTATCGCAATAAATGCTGTAAGAGATTTCATTAATGGCTGATGTGCAGTGCAATAACTTTGCAGGATCTTTGTTTACTTATGTGGCTTGTTCTTCTCTTGCCACGTGTTTAGATATTATTGGTTCTTAATGCCATGTTGAGCTCCAGCAACGCTGGGTTTTAATATTTGAATTATGTATTGGGTCCTAAGTGGTGGGTTATAACCTTTACAGGCTTACCCATGTCAATAAGTATATGAAAAAATTATAAGCTAAATAGTTGAAGACCTTAGTTTGATCCCTCCCAATATTATTCCAAGATTATGAATTTTACAATTGGAGTAGCCGCATATAGTTTGTTGAGACTTTAGGTTAAATCTTATTTTATTAGACTTCTAAAAATTGAAATTTTGTGTAATAAGAATATATATATATATATATATATATATTAAAGGCTTTAGACCACAGATTAAATGACTTTGATTTAGCCACCTCTTTTTGCTAGAATTATGTCATATAGTGTAATTAAATAGGAGGATAAAATCAAGAATTGTGACCTTTGCATGCATTTTTTGGTCAATTGATAGAAGATTATTTAAAAATATTACGATAATTATATCAAATTAGATAATTAATTAAATAAAAAATTTCAACAATACATTTTCTTAAGTCTAATTTTAACAACCATCAAATCAATAAAAAATAAAATAAAAAAAATTAAGAAAGAGTTTAACAATAGAGTCAAAATAATCAAATTTTGTTTTGGGTAATCATTAGACCCTAATCAAAGAAGTACTCAACTAAAATTCTTGCCTCGTTACTAGCTAGCTGGCCTTCGTGTTTTCAAGAGTTACAATTGCTGTCACAAGCTGTATATGTTTTCCAAACTTTAATAGCTTCTTTCCCAGTATTTTTGTATAGATTGATGTAATAAATCAATATAAAAAATCAATTAATGACATATCAGCAATCAGGATTTTTTATATTTTGAAAATTAATAAACTTGCTTTTTCTACTTACAAAAAATAAATAAATAAATAAAAGACAAAAAAATTGCTCAATGTGTTATTTTTTACCGTGCTAAAACTTATTTCTCAATAGAGCGATGAAAAATAATACCATGATGACTTTATATATTTCCCAATGAGTGATATAATTGTTAAATTTTATACTTATGCTTTTGGTTATGAAAATTTATTTAATTTAAACAATTGAAAATATTTTTAATTATAAAATTTAAATAAATTAAATTATTTATGATATTTTTGTTCATATTTTAATGAGAATGGTAAAAATGGAATAAAATACACAATTACAGAGAATTGAATTTTTTTTGGAAACAATTTAACAAAAAATAGGATTTTTTTTTATATCAGCTTTAACAAAAAAAAAAAAAAGAAGTTAGAAAATAAGACGTAGTTGTTTACAATGAAACTTAATATTTTCAATGAATTATTTTAATATTGGTTATAGTTTTCAGAAAATTTTACTTTTTTATTTTCCGTATTTTAATGTTTTCAATGAATTTTTTAAATATTTTAAGCAAATTTTTTTTTTAATTTTTAGACATACCTAACATAAATACACTTAAAAAGTATAATATTTGTGAAAAAAATCTTTACAAAATATACTTAATACCAAAAAAATACAAAAATTTAATACATTTTTCCTATTTTTATGTATTTATTAATTTCTTAAAATAATTTTTCACAAATATTTTATTATTTAGATACATCTAAGTAAAGTGTATCTAAAAAAGTAAAAAAAATTACTTAAAATTTAAAAAATTGAATTTAGAAAACTAAAACTAAACGCAATGAATAGTACTAAATAGTTATCTTAAAAGTAAAATAGGATGCTGTGCAGGCATGCTTTTTGAAAATAATATTTTTATTAGTTTTAAATTGAATTTAACATTTAAAATATCCTGATTATATATATATATATATATAATTATAAATAGTTTCTAAGATTGACTTTTGAGTCAAATATGGTATTTTAGTACTTTGTTGGATTTTCTGTCATCATGAAGTGATGAGCTAGTAATTTCTGTAATTAGGGTATGAATTTAGGTGTGCTTAGTAAGAGCATACAAATCTATGTTCATTTCATCTATCTTCCTCAAGGAACCTTGGTGAAAAACTTCTGTACAATTCTCAACCACAATAACATTCTTCAATTGATTCCTTACCTTAAACTGTCCAAAAGACAAAGACAACATAGATTTCCTCAAGACTCTCTATATATACGCTTTTCTGGTTCAATGCAGAATATGTAGCTACAACAACAACAACAAAAAAAAATATTGCTTTGTGTTTTTTGATCTCTCTCTACACCAGCATGTCTCCTCTTAATACCGATGACTTGCACCGAATCTTCCAAAAGCTTGACCAAAATGGTGATGGCTTCGTGAGCCTCAACGAGCTCAAATGCCTTCTTGAGAAAATCGAGATTCAGATTAGCCTAGACGAACTCGAGTCGTTAGTGGGCAAAATGAGCCTTGATCTTCTTGACTTTTTGTTCTTTTATGACACCATCGTCAAGAAAAACACTAATAATGATCAAAATGAAGTGGGTGCAGTAGATAAGGATTTGGAGAGTGATCTCGCTATGGCTTTCAAGGTGTATGATTTGAACGGTGATGGTTTCATCTCATGCGAGGAGATTCAGAACGTGTTGTCGCGATTAGGGTTGTGGAAAGAGCATTGTGGCGGAGATCGCATGAACATGATTAAAGTGTATGACACAAATTCCGATGGGGTGCTTGATTTTGAGGAATTCAAGAACATGATGTTGCTTACCAATTCTTAAAAACATTTATTTGGTAAAAAAAAGTTTCACATTGCTATTAAGTTGTGAGGGGGATTGTATTGGTGAGATAGGATTTGCATTTGATGTAATCATGTTAGAAAAAATTGTCTTGAATTGTTACTATTGCAACTGCAGTTATTGTTAATCTGAATTGTATTTATTTTTAGGATAAATTTTAAATACACTCCAAAGATTTGCTTAAAATACGAATTGTCTTTTATGATTTTGAAAATTACAAATACAAAATATTTTATTTAACGAAATAAGTAATAGACAAAAATAAAATTTCTAACTACTCTTTTATAGAACAATCAAATTATTAGAATGGTTAATTGAAATATATTTTTAATATCAGTAAAAAAAATTAATTGACTTAATGATTTATTGATAAAAGAAAACATTTGTTACGCGATTAGGAATTTGAAAGGATAAAATGTAATTTTCAGAATCATAACGGACAATTTGCATTTAAATAAATTTTAAAGGTGTATTATAATTTACCCTTATTTTTTTTAGATAGTTCATTTTTTAGCAAAAAGACGGTGTTAGGAATATTCTAAATTTATTTATTTTTCGTTTAATGTTCTTGTCAAAAAGCATTCTCTCTCTCTCTCTCACTTCTTGTTTTGATTTTTGCAATGTTTCTTCGTATTCCTTTTATTGTCTCTATTATCTATGAAGCATGGGTACTTCGAAAAACAAGCCGTACCCGTACCGGGTACTTACCGGCATATGGTACCTTGTATGGTACTTCTTCATATGTACCAGGTACACGAAACACGTACCCAAATTTTTTCTTCTTAATTTTTGACGTACCCAGACGTACCTACTATATACTCAAGCCGTACCGTACTTCAGTTGAAATAATATTTTCTTCTACTATAGAGATAAAACCCCTTTAACTAGACTTCTTTTTTATTTTTAGTTTTATACTTAGCATGTTTTTAAAATTAAACTATGGTTTGTAAAATATATTGACATTTAATTTTGATTTATACATTTACTTTTGGCATTAAATGTTAATTATAGGTTAAATCTTAACAAATTAAACCATTTAATTAATTTTACATCACTATAAATTAAAAATAAATATTTTTTTACAAGCGTACCAAGCCGTACCCGTACCCGTACCCTACTTTTTTTGAATTTACCGTAAAGACGTACCCGTATCGTACCAGTACCAGTACTTGTACCCGTACCCGTGCTTCATAGTCTATTATTAACAAGAAGCAAAGAAGGAAAAAAAAAAAAGTGACATTATTAAGAATTAATATTTTAATCTTTACCTACTAAAATGGATTTACTTTGAAGAACAAACACTTCAAATTTCCATTTAGATCCTGTGTTTTCAGAAATTTTTTGTATCCATGTCTTAAATGAATTCTCAAAAATAATATGTTATCAATATATTCAACTCAGAGGTTAAAATGTAAATTTCATAATATATGCAGAAAAAAACTTTTTCCTATTTTATGTTTTATTTTGTTTTTATGTTTATCACAAATTTATAAAATCAAATTATAAGCCAACCACGTCAGCTAGTGCAAAAAATATTTTTAGTTATACCATGTTAGGTAAGCATTACTCTAACACTACAAGAAATAACACATTTTTCAACTAAAAAATTAGTCGCTAAAAGCCCATTTTTAGTCTGTAAAAATTATCCGCGACCAATTTTTTTGATCGCTACTTTGGTCGCCAATTGAGGGTTATCAAAAGTAATTTTTGTTAGTCGGGAAAAGTTGAATTTGCCGACTAAATTTTTTGCCGCTAAATATATCATTACTGCGACTAATCCATTTTGTCGCTAAAACACTTTGGTCGCAAAAAGTGATATTTTCCGACCAAATATCTTAGTCGCCAAATGTCACATTCCACGACCAAACAGATTAGTTGCCAAAAGTTGAGGAATCGCCGACTAACAATTTAGTCGCCAAAAGGTAAGGAATTGCCGACCAATGATTTTAGTCGCAAAAGTGTAGAATTTGCCGACCAATTTTTTAGTCGCCAAATCTCTTTTTTTTAAAGGGACTCCTGAGTTGTAATTTTCTGAGCTTGGCCAAGTTCATATTCACATGTGTGCCTATCATCAAAATCACTGTTAAAGTGACATTTTTGGTAACGTTTTTTAATTTTTAATTTTCAGTTTCTATTTTTTATTTTTGAATTAAAATAACAAAAATTTGTTTGTATACAATTAGGATAAAATTAGATGCATTATTTTTTAACATATTTTTTATTGTTTGCTTACAGTGGAAGTAGAGCCCACACCATGTGATGATATGGACTCTATTTCAATTGTAAGTAGGTGATAAAAAATATAATACAAAATGGTTTCTGTAGTAGTTATTTTCCAAAAAAAATGAAAATGATTCTAGAATTTTCAAATATTTAAAAGTGAAAAAAAAAAAAAATGTGTTTTCACTTTTTCTTTCCTCCTTCACCACCTATCGCCAGCCGCCTGTGATCATTCGGAAATGGTAAGATCTGGTGACCACCTTCCGAGAGGCTTCGATGATTGGATGGTTAAATAACTATTTTTTCTCAATCTCACCACTAGGAGTTTGGTTGTGCGCTTTATTAGACTCATTTTATGGCCTAATTCGATAATTTGAACTGTTTATATTTTAAAATGTATTGAGTATAATAAACGTGTAAAAACTCATGCCAATCGGATATCGTTATCTCTTTCATCAAATTATATTTATATTTTAAAAAAATAGATAAATGTAATTTGAAATAAAAAACTCAATGCAAATGTAATTTGATGAAAGTGATAATGATATCCGATTGACGTGATTTTTTACAGGTATATTTTACTCGATACTTTTTTAAATGTGAACGGTTCAGATTATTAAATTATACCCTGAAATGGGCCCAATAAGGCGCGCAACAGTTGCTGCTGCACACTATGTGCAGCAGCCCTAAACTCCTATTGAGTTTACCTCTGATAGCTTATCAAATGCACTTATATTTTATTTATTTATTTATTTATTTTTTAATAAACGGAAACCTAAGAACTGTTGGACAATCTTCATTGTATTTAAATAAATTAAATTCTGTTGTGTACTAAACAACAACCAGAATAAAAAGAAATAAAGGAAATGAGAGAATTTGTTTGATTACAAAAATCAAACTCGAAATAAAAATAAAAATAAATAAATAAAAACAGATTTTATTTTGTTACAAAAACAAAATTAAAATCTGATTTAAATAAATAATAAAACACTGAAAATAAATTAAATAACTTACTTGATTTAATTTCTTCGAATTATAATCTGATCAAATCCAAGGTTTGACACTGTGTCCTTAAGACAGATTCGTCCTCTTCACGGTGCTTTCAGAATTTGGACGTCTATCTCCCAAGATAAAATGATCTACTACAAACAATAACAGCACTACAAATTGTTTGCCTAACGAACACACTAAGTGTTTATACTCTCTCTGACAAGAAAATGATGCAGCAAAATGAACAGGATGTTTGCAGAATTATGAAGGACGAAAATTAGAGTTACAAAATTTAAATGAGAGCTGTCCTATTTATAGATGTAATGGTGACGGTAGGTTTTGAATTGAATAGGTATGAAACCTGTTGGTTTTGAATTCAAACAGATTTGAATCTGTTGGATTACAATTCAAACAGATAACAAAAATGGGAAGGGCCTTGTTTGGGTGTACAGTAAATCTGGATCAGATTATTTCCGGTTTAATACGGGAAGGGCCCTGTTTGGATGTACAGAAAAATCAAACCAGTTTAATTTGAATTCAAACAGATTTGAATCTGTTGGATTACAATTCAAATAGATAACAAAAATGGGAAGGGCCTTGTTTGGGTGTATAGTAAATCTGGATCAGATTATTTCCGGTTTAATACGGGAATGGCCCTGTTTGAATGTACAGAAAAACCAAATCAGTTTAATTTGAATTCTGGATTTCATTTTACCAAAAATAAAATTAAATTCAAATGTTTTTTACCAAAAAAGATTAGTATTGGGCCGGACAAGCCCAACCCAATCTCACACCCGCGCCTAGCCCGCCCGACGGATGGCGGCGCGCGTGTGGTGATTTTTGGGTCCAATGGGTCTAGCCCATTTTGCCCATAACCTCTCCCTCTAAAACACTTGGGTACCCCTTGGGGCACACCCCATGTACCAAACCTAAGCCTTATAAACCCATTCAAAACCTTCCACCAAATCAATGTGGAACAAGCCATTTTACAACCTTAAGGAATTTTCACAAAAACTCCATTTCCATGGAGTACACTTTGGTTTCAATTTCTCATTCACTCGGTAATGGTTTTGAGCAACCAAATATACCACGTGAATCACAACGCGGCATAGAACGCGTTACCACTTTGACCCGTAAAAATCGACGCACGAAACCCACTTAAAAAATAGATCGAACTTAAAAAAAAATTCTGATTTTATTCAAAATTTTATAACCATTTCTAACGAGAATATCAAACCACACCAATTGGTTTGCGTATAGACTCTCAAATGTACCTACCCCGTGATGTTTTTTCCTACAAGAAGAGAAGGTTCTAGAGAGGACTTGGACTTCTTCATTTTTTACATGAAAATCATGGTTAGATGGGTCATAACAAAAATTATAATAATAACACTTGAGATTTAAATAAATGCTTTATAGCGTTCCAAGATACTCAGAAATGGTTGCTATAGTAGTGGGAGATAAGGAAGCGATCAAATTAATCCAAAGAGTATAAAAAACTAATTATCTTTTTTTTTTTTTTTAGTTTTGCAAAAATAATTTTCTCTATGACTTTGGAATTGGTTGTTTATATTATTACTATTGTAAAGATCTAAAGAAAAAAAAGGGAATTAGGAGAGAGGTTCTTTAATAGAAAATTATGCCATGAACTTTATAAAGCTTTTTTAAACTTGGTAGAATTTATTTAAAACTTTGTCGGTAATCGATTGTGTCCCATTTATCAAGGGGTTTAGGAATATCAATCCCATCAATGGTGATTGTAGGTTCACTCCACCCAAAGATTACGGAGTGCCAAACTTTCTCATCGATGGATTTTAAAAATGCTCTCATACGAGCTTTCCAATAAGAATAGTTTGTACCGTCAAGTAATGGGGGTCTATGAGTCGAGTTACCTTCACGAATAGAATCCATGATACTAATCACACAAAATCACACTCCTATAGTTTTTTAAAAAAAAAAACAAAGAGTGACCCGCTCTGATACCAATTGAAAATCCTACGTGATTTGTGATTAGATCAAGATTAACTAATTCCAAAACCCAATAAATTCAAAACACTCAACCTAAAATCATCAAACACTTACGAGAGTGATTTTAGTTTGTTTGTTTTTGAGAATAAACAATAAATCAACACAAACGATTTTTTACGTGGAAAAAACCACAATTGAAGAGCCTTCAATTGTAATAAAAAACTACGGGCGAACTGCCACTATCAATCCACTACTGAAGAACGAAAAGATTACAAAGAAATCATACAAATTACCCAACCCTAGTCAATTTGTCTCTGAATCTTCTGTAACTCTTTTCACCACACCTTCGTCACGGAATTGATTCTGAAGTTGATTCCACACCACAACTTCACTTGTCGAATTAACGACTGCGTAGACTCAAACGCCTTTTGGATCCTACGCTTTGATCTTCGGAATCCACCGAAGAGAACTCACTTGAAACTTAAGAAGCAACCTCCTTGATGTATGAATTTCAATGCATAAGTTCAGAACTCTCTTAAGAACATCAAGAAAAACGATAAAAAATCTCCAAAGAAGACTTTAAACACAACCCTAGTTTGTTTAGATCAGATCTTAGAAAAAACGTCCCAAACAAAACAACTTAAGCAGCTTTAAATAGGAATCTGGATCCGCGATCTCCGCTCGAGCTCACAACAGCCCGCTCGAGCGGACTGACCAAAAACTGCATGTGAAGAAACTGAGATGCGCTCGAGCGTAGGAGTTTCCGCTCGAGCGTAAAAACACACCCACCAGTATTTGTTGCTTGCCCTGACAAAGTACTGAGACCTGCCAATCTACGCTCGAGCTCACAAGTATCCGCTCGAGCGGAAAGTACAAAAACACAAAAAAAACTTTTGAATCAACACAAGGTTTTGTCTCCGGATTTGACAACATAGGGACCTAACACAAGATACCCAGAAATGGTTGCTATAGTAGTGGGAGATAAGGAAGCGATCAAATTAATCCAAAGAGTATCAAAAACTAATTATCTTTTTTTTTTTTTTTTTCTAGTTTTGCAAAAATAATTTTCTCTATGACTTTGGAATTGGTTGTTTATGTTATTACTATTGTAAAGATCTAAAGAAAAAAAAAAGGGAATTAGGAGAGAGGCTCTTTAATAGAAAATTATGCGATGAACTTTATAAAGCTTTTTTAAACTTGGTAGAATTTATTTAAAACTTTGTCACACAATTTTAATGTTAGAAAATGTTCATAGAATTACTAAATGAATTAATAAACATGTAACATTCAGTAAATAATTAATTTTTAAAAATCGATTTATATATATATATTTTTTGGTGAATAAGTCATAAAATAAAAATAAAAAAATTACAAGATTACAAGGAGTATGTCCCAGGCCCTACAGAACTATACAAAGCAAAAGACGAATAGCTAAATCTAAAAGAAAAGGTTAAGACAAAAGGCTAGCATCTGGACACAGAGCAAACTAAAACTATCTAACCCATACTGATTTATATTTCTCATTTAACAAACAGTTTTAAACATAAAATACATATAAAGTGTTAAAATATAGAGTGTGCGCAAGCCTTAATATAAATAAAAAATTATCAAAAGCAATAAATTGCTAAAAGTAGTTATATACACAATTGGGAACAACGGTCCTCCGTGCTTGCCTCTCTAAAAGACAAAGTAAAAGTCTAGACAATGAGAGGGAAAGGACAACATTGATTTCCTTGGCACTCTCTCCATATATACCCTTTTCCACTTCAATGTAAAATATGCAGTTACACAAGCTACAACTACCGAAAATATTTGCTTCCTATTGGTTTTTTTGAGACAAATTTGCATCAACATGTCTCCTCTAAATACCAATGACTTGAAACGGATTTTCGAAAAGCTTGACCGAAATGGTGATGGCTTCGTGAGCCTTAACGAATTCAAATGGTTTCTCCAGAAAATCGGAGTTCAAACTAGCTTAGATGAATTCGAGTCATTATTGGACAAAACGAGCCTTGATCTTCTTGACTTTCTTTTCTTCTATGATACCATGGTTATGCAAAACATTAATGGTGATCAAAGCAAAGGGGTTGAAGAGAATAAGGACTTGGAGAGTGATCTTGCTAAGGCTTTCAAGGTGTATGATTTGAACGGTGATGGTTTCATTTCATGCGAGGAGCTCCAGATTGTGTTGTCACAATTAGGATTGTGGAACGAGCATTGTGGTCGGGATAGCAAGAGCATGGTTAAGGTATATGATACAAATTCTGATGGGGTGCTCGATTTTGAAGAATTCAAGAATATGATGTTGCTTACCACTTCTTAAAGACATTTATTTGGTAAAAGGTTTCACATTGTTGTCAAATTGTGAGGGTGATTGTGAGGGTAAGCTACATAAATTTCAATTGAATTAGGTAGAGACTTGTTGTCCTTGATTGTTACTATTGTAATTTTAAATGCTAGGAATAGTATTATATTGTCTTGTTTCTCTTAGAAATAGTGGTTTGTAAGGGTGGACAGCGGATATATCAATCTGTCAAAACTGACCGAACCGAACCGAACCGATCCGCCGCATTTTGGACGGATGCGCGATGACGAACGGATGGTTGCGGATTGATTTTCTCCAATCTGCCAATCTGGCGGACGGATGGCGGATTTGAGATTCTTTTGGCCGCAACCGAACCGTCAAACCGCGAGCACCCCTAGTAATTTATAAGACTTTGTGTTTTCAGTTTGTTTAAATATTCTGTTTGTGTTTCAAATTAAAAAAGAGTTTACATATTCTGTTGAAAAAAAGTTTTCAACTTGAATATCTTTTTTGAATTGAAAAAAATAAACGTATTACTTATTTATATTTTTTGGTTTTTAGATCTATCTCTAAAAATAATAAATAGAAAATATGATATATGTTGGTTGGTTTTTGTTTTCAAAAACAGATATAGATGTAACAATACAAAGACATACAATCTCTACTACTGCTTTGTTTATGGTTTTGGTGGTTTGAATTGTTTTTATATTTTAAGAACCACAGATTGTAATACTTTATGTGGATGAGGCATGCTATGATTGTGATATTCTAAAATTTCAAACTTTCTTGCTTTGGATGAGGCATGCAGTGATTGCAATATTTTTTTAAGTTATTGACTGTAATACTTTCTTCTTCTTTTTTTGAGGAAGTGCACAAGTTGAATTATGTTGAAAATTTATAAAATTTTAAACCGCCAAACCGCCAATTCACTCAATCCACATCCGCCGGATTGGCGGACTAATGCGGATTGATTTTCTCCAATCTGCCAATCTAGCGGATGGATGGCGGATTGGAGATTCCGTGGCCGCAACTGACCCGCGCCTACTCCTAGTGGTTTGGTTTGAATGAAAAATATAGTGTTTGGAATATTCTAATGTCAATATATATGTTTGGTTGTTTTGCACATGTTAAGTTTTTATTCTTGGCAACCCCGTTTGACAAAACTCCTTTAAGTTGTATTTGTTTTCACACTTTTTATTTCAGTGAGGCTATGAGTGTTTAAATGCGAATCCAATCCGAATTGTGCCTTGCAGAGAAGTTTGTGATGTTAATACTTTCAAGATCTTCTTTCGCTGATTATGACAAAAATGCATTCCAAGTTGTCTGTCCGCTCGAGTGGACATTCCCCCGCTCGAGCGGAGAATGCTGAGTTCCAGAAGTTTAGTCCGCCTGTAAAAATACTGGATGTTGTTTTTTCCCGCTCGAGCGGAAGTTTCCGCACTCGAGTGTATGTCCGTTTGAGCGGCCAATCCGACGCTTGAGCGGAGATCACGGGACAGTTTTCTATAAATACGTGTTTCAGTCCAAATCTAGGATAACTTCTCTAGATCTTCTTCTTGGGTTCTAAGGTTTATATCTGGGGATTTTTTGCTAGTTTTCTTTGATGTTTTGATTGAGTATTCAACTCATGGTTTAAAGAGTATACATCAAAGGATCATTTGTTTGTTCTACACAAAAGAGAGAGTTGTTCTTCAGTGGATTCTGAAAAATTCGAGCCTGACGCTTTGGTGGATTCTGGAGTGGCTCATCGTCAAGACAATTCCGAGGTGAAGACGGGATTGGAAGAGGCACATAGAGGTTGGTTCAATTCGGGCGTGGATTCGCTAGGTAATTGAGAGTATACCTATGTAATTCCTTTATATCTTCTTAGTGGATTATTTTGTGGCTATTGCCCGTGATTTTTTTTTTTATCACAATTGGAGGTGTCCAATTGTGGTTTTTCTACGTAAAATCGTTGTGTCGATTTGTCTTGGTTGTTTGATTGGGATTGTTATATACTGCTTAAAATTGATATATAATCACATTGCGGATTGATTTTCTCCAATCCGCCAATTTGGCGGATGGATGGCGGATTGGAGATTCCGTGGCCGCAACTGACCCGCGCCTACTCCGCTAAATCGCGAGCACCCCTAGTAATTTATAAGACTTTATGTTTTCAGTTTGTTTAAATATTCTGTTTGTGTTTCAAATTAAAAAAGAGTTTACATATTTTGTTGAAAAAAAGTTTTTAACTTGAATATCTTTTTTGAATTGAAAAAAATAAACGTATTATTTATCTATATTTTTTGGTTTTTAGATCTATCTCTAAAAATAATAAATAGAAAATATGATATATATTGGTTGGTTTTTGTTTTCAAAAACAGATATAGATGTAACAATACAGAGACATACAATCTCTACTACTGCTCTGTTCATGGTTTTGGTGGTTTGAATTATTTTTATATTTTAAGAACCACAGATTGTAATACTTTATGTGGATGAGGCATGCTGTGATTGTAGTATGTAGATGAGGCATGCTGTGATTGTGATATTCTAAAGTTTCAAACTTTCTTACTTTGGATGAGGCATGCAGTGATTGCAATATTTTTTTAAGTCATTGACTGTAATACTTTCTTCTTCTTTTTTTGAGGAAGTGCACAAGTTGAATTATGTTGAAAATTTATAAAATTTTAAACCGTCAAACCGATTCGCATCCATCCACCAAACCGCCAATCCGCTCAATCCACATCCGCCGGATTGGCGGACTAATGCGGATTGATTTTCTTCAATCCGCCAATCTAGTGGACGAATGGCGAATTAGAAGTTCCGTGGCCACAATTGACCCGCGCCCACTCCTAGTGGTTTGGTTTGAATGAAAAATATAATGTTTGGAATATTCTAATGTCAATGTATATGTTTGGTTGTTTTTCACACAATTTAAACTTGCCCATTTAATATTTATGAATAATATGCATATAATCCATTATTTTTCTTTGTTTCTTATTTATGCTCATTTGATAGTCGCATGATTAATAGTGCCTAAGTCTCGTTAATCATTTTGTAATTTGAAATAAATATTTATTGACATAGATGTTTTTCAGATAAATGTGATCCAAATGTGTTTCTACTAACATCTTAATTTAAATTTTTGTGAGGATAAAAATTGAACAATTCAGATGATTGAGTCAAAGTGCGCCCAAATTATCCTGAATTGGATCTCCACTAGAATGAAGCTCAACCTACTATTTTCTCATATATACATTTTTTTAACTCCATGAATATAATTAAGGTTTTGTTTAGGAATATGTTATTTTAATAATTTTTTAACTTTTTACAAAAAGATGTGTAAAAAAGTAAAGAAAGTGATATGACAATTAATAGTGACTTTTTGACTAAAATATATAGTTAACAAACGAGGTTTAACTGTGAGATTAAACTGAACTTTGAACATATCTTGGAGCAAGTTTTATATTGGAAAGAAACTGCTAATTTCAAACTTAACTTTTAAACACATTTTTTTGGATCAACAACGTTTTGAAATAAAAAGAATTTAAATAAATGAAGTAAATAAAGTAAGAAAAATGAATCTAATATGTATAATTTTCTTCTTACAGCACCTTTAAGGGAGTAGGCAAATTGGACATTTGAGGCATTTTGCCTATTGAAATTACAGTTTATAGTCTCCAATAAGCTTGCAAAGCTATTGACATTTTATTTATTTATTATTATTTTCACTCTTACATGTGGCTAATGTTGGAAGCTAGGCAAATCTAAATTCATTCTCCAACCGGCCTTCGATCAGTTTTTCAAAAATCAAATAGTATGATTTCATCTCTCTCTCCCTATTTAATAATGATCATATAGAAATGTTATTTAAAAAAAAAATTAATAATATATTTTTTAAAATTAAATATTTTCAAATTCTACATCAGAAATCAAGTTAACACTGCATATGTAGTATGTCGTAAAAAAGATTGTATTTTTTTTTTTTATGTTTTATACTAGTATTATTCTTTTGAAAAATAGATAAGTTAGTTTGATTAGTTAACTAAAATAAAGATGGGGTAAATTACAAATATATCTCCTGAGATTTGCTTAAAATACGAATTGTCCTATGTGGTTTGGAAAATTATAAATACCTCCCTGTCAGAATTTTTTATTTAACAGAATTACTTAAAAAAGTGAAATTTCTAACTGTTCACCTATACAATAATAAAATTATCTAAATTATTAATTCAAATAAAATTTTAATATTATTAAAAACTGTTAATTAATTTGATGATTTATTAATAAAAGGACCTATTTATCATGAAATTAGAAACCTTAGGGGGCATAATATAATTTCTAGAACTATATGAGATAATTTGTAATTTAAATAATTCTCAAGATGTGTGTGTAATTTACCCTAAAGAGTGTTATTGGTGGACAAACTAACTAAATTAATTAGACAAATTACAGAGAATACTTTTCTATGTACTTTTTTTTTCAAAATTCTTTTTCGTGTTTCATGAGAGTCGGCTGTTGAAACAAAATAGTGAAAGAAGAAGACTGGGTCTTCAACATTAGACTAGAGAGATGAGTTTTGATTTAGGAAGATTCTTAAATTGAATTTTTAATTAAGTTTGTTACCTTATTCTATAAAAATTCACTGTTTGGCTATTATTAAAATAGGGATCGATTCCTTCAAATGAACGGGTTGGGCCTATAGATTCATTATGGTTTCGTTTTAATAATTTGAACTGTTTATTTTGTCAGATATTTTATATATTTTATTTACACACAAAATTAGGCCAGTCTGATAATCTATACCATGTATTAAAGAAAATGGATTTTTAACTTTAAGAGCTCTAGAAACTTCAAAACCCAATCCAATTATGTTAAGTTTTGGTTATTTTTTAAACAAAAAGATATTATTGACTACTAAAAATTAAAATTTAAAGTTTAAAATTACAGTGAACAAAGAATTTATTGAATTCACTGCTCATTTAGGGATTTAAATTTCAAAATACACATGATTTAAGGAATTGTTTTCCTACTAAAAATTGAAATTTAAAGTTTAAAAATTTAAAATTATAGCCAACTAAGAATTTAGAGAAAAATGTTGAAAAATCCAATCTAAGGAGGGTATAAGGCATTAGGTAAAATAGATATTTTTTTTGTTAGTGAATGGTCCACCCTTTATGAAATAGCTTGGTGAGAAGTCCTTTTGTTGTTTTAAAAGACATTTTATTTTCAATTTTACCCTATAATTTATATGTTGAATTTTTTGACTATCTGTTTAAATTCTTATCTATCTGTACAATTTTCCCCCCGATCTACTCAATTTTTTTTCTTTATTGGTTGAAATATCAATTTAAATTTAAGTGTTTGCTCAATTTTTTCCCTTATTTGTTTAAATATATTTGTCCAAATTTTATTATTTGTTTATTTTTTTCCCCTTATCTGTTTAAATATATCTGTACAAATTCGAAAATCCTCTATTTGAAGAGGACTTTTTTATTAGTTAAAATTTTATTCAATCTGTTCAATAACCTATCTATTTAATTTTTTTCGATTATACTTTCAAATAATCAATGAGAAAAAAAATATAAAATCTATTGTCTTTGAACTAGAATTAAATCAAAAATTTTGATTAAAACACAGATCCGAGCTTTTAGTACTCAAATATGCTAAGAAATCAACTAGAAGCTCAGATCTATATTTTAATCAAAAGTTTATAAGGGTAAAGAATTCAAAGTAAAAGAATATGTATATGAATATAAATATTCAGACATATATATGTATATGAACTTCACAAAGAAAAAACAGAGGCTAAAGAATTCAAAGTAAAAGAAATTGATAAAGAAAAAAAGAGAGCAATATATAGATTCAAACACACACACACATATGTATATGAATATGAATATGTAGTGTTTTACTAGTATCTTCCAAATCAGTGACCATTTTTTTTCATAGATAGAAAAACTCATAGATAGCAAACAAACAAACAACAAAAATATTCAAGACACTCAAGAAGAGGACCCTCTAGCCACGCCAGAGAGGTAGCATTCGACAAGTCAATGACCTTAAACAACTAAAAAGCATATTTCTCTCTCTCTCTCTCTCTCTCTCTCTCTTTCTCTTTCTTGTGATTATTTTATAGAGAGAGAAACAAATGAATCTGAAGAGAACAACAGTCCAAGCCTGAACCAAAATAAGACGAAGAACCTGAAGAGCTAAACAAGCCGAAGACTAAGCGAAATGGATTTGGATCTGAAAAGCGATTTGGATCTGGATCTAGATCTGAGTAGCGTAGGGATGACAATTTGAACAAGGCCTAACGGGGACCCAGCCCTCTCGATCCTAATTAAAACGAATTTTCTACGGGCCGGGAATGGAATTCGAAAATGCATCCCTGACAATTTTTGGATCGGGGATGGTAATATGTTCCCCAGTCCCGGCCTGTCCCCGTCCCCGTTTCCCCCGAACTGAAATTACTATTATACCTATCTATCCATTCATATATATACCTTCCCCTCTCTCTCTCGCTCTCTCTCAGACCTCGATCACTTTCTCTCTCAGACCTTTGTCACACACACGCGCGCGCGCACACACACACACACATACACACATACTCTCACACACACACACACACACACACACACACACACACACACACACATTTGAAACCCTAATCTCAAACCCACTTCGATCCAGATCCAGTGCATCTCCACTTTCGCCAAGGTCGCCAAGGTCACCATCCTCAAGGATCGCCGCTCCGTCGTAGTACCACCACAACACTTCCTCTGTCATTCTCCATCGCAGCACCGCCGTAGCACCTTCACTCTCGCTTCTCTCATCCTTCTTTCCTTCCTTTCATTTTCTCTCTCCCCTCTCTCTCTCTCTCTCTCTCTCTCTCTCAATTCTAATAGTGAAACCCTAGCCAATGCCTTGAGACACGGCGGTGTCAGCCATGTTTCAACATAAATCTGACCTCTGTAGGCAGAGATCTGAGTCGATCCACATGGATCCGTGAGCGATCCACACAAATCTGTGTATATGTATACATGTATGTGTGTGTGAGAGTGTGTCTCTATCTGTCTCAATTTTTTTTCGGTAGCTAATCTGTTGTGTATATGTATGTTTATGTATAATTGTAGTTATTTTGGTTGTTAATGTTAATTTTGATGACGTTGTTGTTGATGATGTTGATGTTGATGAAAATGAAACAGATTAGGTCGGGGATTTTGACGATGTTGTGGTTGTTGATCTATTGTTTGTGTTGTTTTTGTACGGGGATTTTTCAGGGTCGGGGATCCCTCATTAGGGAGTTTAGGCTAGGAGGGAGGGCGATGGGTTCCCCGCCAGGAATTAGGAGAGGAGTCGGGAAATTTTGTACCTTCGAGGATCGGGAACGGGGAGTATAATCCTCGGCCCCGCTCTGGCCCGTTGTCATTCCTAGAGCAGCAGTGGCAGCGGAAGAGGGTGACGAAACTCTAATGGTGGCATGGAAGAGACGCAGATGAGAGACAAGATGAGGAGAGAGAGAGCGGGACAGGGACATAAACGATTTGGGGATGGAGGTGGTCGACAACGAAGAGAAATAGTTTGGCAATGAAGATAGTTGGCAACGAAGATGAAAATGAGAGAGAAGAGAATGAGAGATGTAAAGAGAAGAAAGAGAGACAAATGTGGAGATTTTCATTCTTCAGGGAAAATTACACTCAATACAGATGAGTGTCCGTGTGGAGATCCAGGGAAAGGAGGATTCGGTGGAGTTTTCTGCGATGAAGAGAGAGTCTGGCTGTATGGTTTCTTTGGGAAGCTCGAGAACTGTTATAGCCTTGAAGCTGAAATGTGGGGCATTTACTGTGGTCTTACATTTGTTTTAGGGAAAGGCCTTCGTGAAGTTATCATTGAGACTAATTCGACTATGGCTGAGGAGCTGCTCACTAAAGGCCCTCTTCTAAATTGTCCATACCAAAGCATTGTGGAGGACTCTCGCCACTTGATCCAATGGTGCAATTGCACAATCCAACACATCATGTGGGAAAGAAATCAATATGTAGACAAGCTTGCTAATATGGGAGCTGCTCAATCAAAGGTGCTGGTGGTGGTGGAAGAGCCACCTGTTAAAGTGTGAAGCCAAATTCTTGTTGATATGGTAGGAGTGGAATATAGGAGCGTCTGAGCCCTGTGTTCATAACTTTGTTTTATTATTATTATTATTATTATTATTATTATTAATTATTATTATGATGTTTTAGTTTAGATGTGGTCTACTCGTGTCAACCATGTTTCAGCAAAAATCTGACCTCTGTAGGCAGAGATCTGAGTCAATCCACATGGATCCGTGAGCAATCCACACAAATCTGTGTATATGTATACATGTATGTGTGTGTGTGAGAGTGTGTCTCTATCTGTCTCAATTTCTTTCGGTAGTTGATCTGTTGTGTGTATGTATGTTTATGTATAATTGTAGTTATTTTGGTAGTTGATGTTAATTTTGATGACGTTGTTGTTGATGATGTTGATGTTGATGAAAATGAAACAGATTAGGTCGGGGATTTTGACGATGTTGTGGTTGTTGATCTATTGTTTGTGTTGTTTTTGTACGGGATTTTTCAGGGTCGGGGATCCCTTATTAGGGGGTTGGGGCCGAGGGGGGGTGATGGGTTCCCCGCCAGGAATTAGGGGAGGGGGCGGGGAATTTTATACCTTCAGGGATCGGGAACGGGGAGTATAATCCTCGACCCCGCCCCGGCCGATTGTCATTCCTAAAGCAGCAGTGGCAGCAGAAGAGGGTGACGAAACTCTAATGGCGGCATGGAAGAGACGCAGATGAGAGACAAGATGAGGAGAGGGAGAGAGCGGGACAGCGACATAAACGAATTGGGGATGGAGGTGGTCGACAACGAAGAGAAATAGTTTGGCAATGAAGATGGTTGGCAACGAAGATGAAAATGAAAGAGAAGAGAGGAGAAAGAGAGACGAATGATGAGAGATGTAAAGAGAAGAAAGAGAGACAAATGTAGAGATCCTCATTCTTCAGGGAAAATTACACTAAATACAGATGGGTGTCCGTGTGGAGATCCAGGGAAAGGAGGATTCGGTGGAGTTTTCTGCGATGAAGAGAGAGTCTGGCTGTATGGTTTCTTTGGGAAGCTTGAGAACTGTTATAGCCTTGAAGTTGAAATGTGGGGCATTTACTGTGGTCTTACATTTGTTTTAGGGAAAGGCCTTCGTAAAGTTATCATTGAGACTAATTTGACTATGGCTGAGGAGCTGCTCACTAAGGGCCCTCCTCTAAATTGTCCATACCAAAGCATTATAGAGGACTCTCGCCACTTGATCCAATGGTGCAATTGCACAATCCAACACATCATGTGGGAAACAAAGAAATATGTAGACAAGCTTGCTAATATGGGAGCTGCTCAATCAAAGGTGGTGGTGGTGGTGGTGGTGGTGGAAGAGCCACCTGTTAAAGTGCGAAGCCAAATTCTTGTTGATATGGTAGGAGTGGAATATAGGAGGATTTGAGCCCTGTGTTCATAACTTTGTTTTATTATTATTATTATTATTATTATGTTTTCATTTACTTGGTTTAGTTTGTTGTCTTTGTTGTTTTCTTATTTCCTTTTTCGATGTACCAAAGAGAGAGAGAGAGAGAGAGAGAGAGAGAGAGTGAGTGAGTGAAGCGAGTTTGGGAATAGCAAAGTGATACAATATATATATACATACGTGGGTATTTTAGTCATTTCGTCTCAGCATGTCTTTATGGACAAAATATTTTATAGTGTCGTCTTTTGGCCAAACAAAATCCAAATTTTGATTTATGGACCGAGTGTCCAAGAAGTTATTTATTCACCTATCCTTTGAGGATTTAAATTTCAAAATATATATGATTTAAGTAATTGTTTTTCATAATAAAAATATATTATATATTTTACTTAGTTAATCAGCAGAAATTTACTTTCAAAAAAATAAAGAAAAAAAAAAACAAGAAACAACTTTCACTACTTTCAAAATAAAAAAAGAAGCTTGCACGAGAAATATCTTAATCTCTACTAGCATAAATATTCTTTACACCTCTCTTAGTCTTTGAAAATGGTAATTGTTAAGATTTCATTGGTGTTTAAATTATTATTTTTCACTTATTTTTTCTTTTCATTCAAACTTAATCTCTACGGTAACTAGAAATAGTTGTTGGCTTCTGTGCTAAGATTAGGAGTGAAATTTTTTACATGTTTGTTATTTCTAAGACAAGTAATGGATCAATGTGCCGTGTCTAAATTGTCAATATTATTATATAAAAAATAGGGTTTGTGATCGATTATAGCTCTATCATATCGATTATAAATAAAATAAAAAAGAATTGTATCTTTCATTGATTTTATATGTGTAGTCCTTAAAAGTAATAATTATATTTTTCATAATTTTCAGTTTCAATTCTATTCAATAAATATTTAATTTATCAATTCGTGTGTTTCTTTGGTGTAGAGTATACTTTGATCTATATCTATATGTATACTATTACTGAGTAAAAGAAACTTTTGATCTAACAAAATCTAGGAATTTCAAAGCATCACTACAAAATTTTAAAAGTTAAGAAATACGGTTGACATACAACTTTGGCAAATTTAATTATATCTACAATTTTAACATTTAAAAAAATATTTATGTATAGAAAGTCAAATAAATAAATTCAATCATATCTAAGTCACATCTAATTTGATATTTGAAAATCCTTAAAAGGAAATTCTAAATTTAAATTTAAATTTAATATTATATAACTTAAAACAATGAAAATATTTACTTCAAAATATTATTCATTTTTTTAAATATTTGAAACTGAAAGATAAATATAATTTAAAACTACTAACTTATCTAACCATGTCTAATTTTCTAACTGTTCACTTATACAATAATAAAATTATCTGAATTATTAATTGAAATAAAATTTTAACATTATTAAAAACTGTTAATTAACTTGATGATTTGTTAATAAAATGACGTATTTATTATGAAATTAGAAACTTTAGGAGGTATAATATAATTTCCAAAACTATATAGGATAATTTGTAATTTAAATAAATTTCAGAAAGTGTGCCTGTAATTTACCCTAAAGAGTGTTATCGGTGTACAAACTAACTAAATTAATTAGACAAATTAGAGAGAATACTTTTCTATGTACTTTTGTTTCAAAATTCTTTTTCGTATTTCATCAGAGTCGGCTGTTGAAACAAAATAATGAAAGAAGAAGACTGGGGCTTCAACATTAGACTAGAGAGATGAGTTTTGATTTAGGAAGATTCTTAAATTGAATTTTTAATTACGTTTGTTACCTTATTCTTTAAAAATTCACTGTTAGGCTATTATTAAAATAGGGATTGATTCAATCAAATGAACGGGTTGGGCCCATAGGTTCCTTATGGTTTAGTTTTAATAATTTGAATTGTTTTTTTTTGTCAAATATTTTGTATATTTTATTTACACACAAAATTAAACCAGTTTGATAATCTATATCATGTATTAAAGAAAATGGGTTTTTAACTTTAAGAGCTTTAGAAACTTCAAAACTTCAATCCAATTATGTTAATTTTTGGTTATTTTTTAAACAAAAAAATATTATTGGCTACTAAAATTTAAAATTTAAAGTTTAAAGTTTAAAGTTTAAAATTACAGTCAACAAAGAATTTATTGAGTTCACTTCTCATTTAGAGATTTAAATTTCAAAATACACATGATTTAAGGAATTGTTTTCCTACTAAAAATTGAAATTTAAAGTTTAAATATTTAAAATTAGAGTCAACTAAGAATTTAGAGAAAAATGTTGAAAAATTCAATTTAAGGAGGGCATTGAGTCAAATAGATATTATTTTTGTTAGTGAAAGGTCCACCATTTATGAAATAGTTTGGTGAGAAGTCCTTTTGTTGTTTTAGAAGACATTTTATTTTCAATTTTACCCCTTAATTTATATGTTGAATTTTTTTACTATCTGTTTAAATTTGTATCTATCTGTTCAATTCCCCCCCTATCTATTCAAAAAAAAATTTCTTTATTGGTTGAAATATCTATCTAAATTTTAAGTATTTGCTCAATTTTTTTCCTTATTTGTTTAAATTTATTTGTCCAAATTTTATTATTTGTTTATTTTTTTCCCTTATCTGTTTAAATATATCTGTACAAATTCGTAAATCCTCTATTTGAAGAGAACTTTTTTATTAGTTAAAATTTTATTCAATCTTTTCAATAACCTATTTGTTTAATTTTTTTCGATTATACTTTCATATAATCAATGAGAAAAAAAATATAAAATCTATTGCCTCTGAACTAGAATTAAATCAAAAATTTTGATTAAAACACAGATTTGAGCTTCTAGTACTCAAATATGCTAAGAAATCAACCAGAAGCTTAGATCTATATTTTAATCAAAAGTTTAGGAGGGTAAAGAACTCAAAGTAAAAGAATATGTATATGAATATGAATATTCAGACATATATACGTATATGAACTTCACAAAGAAAAAACAGAGGCTAAAGAATTCAAAGTAAAACAAGTTGACAAAGAAAAAGAGAGCAATTTATAGATTCACACACACACACACACACACACATATATATATGAATATGAATATGTAGTGTTTTACTAGTATCTTCCAAATCAGTGACCATTTTTTTTCACGGATAGAAAAACTCGTAGATAGTAAACATAAACAAACAACAAAAACACTCAAGACGCTCAAGAAAAGGACCCTCTAGCCACGTCGGAGGGGTAGCATTCAACAAATCAGTGACCTTAAACAACTAAAAAGCATCTCTCTCTCTTTCTCTCTTGTGATTATTTTATAGAGAGAGAAACAAATGAATCTGAAGAGAACTACAGTCCAAGCCTGAACCAAAACAAGACGAAGACTAAACGAAATGGATTTGGATCTAAAAAGTGATATGGATTTGGATCTAGATCTGAGCAACGTAGGGATGACAATTTGAACTAGGCCCGACGGGGACTTGACCCTCCTGATCTCGATTAAAACGAATTTTCTTCAAAAAATATCCCCAACGGGCCGGAGATGGAATTCTAAAATGCATCCCTGATAATTTTTGGGTCGAGGATGGTGATACGTTCCCTAGCCCCAGCCCGTCCCCGTTTCCCCGAAACTGAAATTACTATTATACCCCTCTATCCATTTATATATATACATTTTATCTCTCTCTCTCTCTCTCTCTCAGACCTTGATCACTTTCTCTCTCAGACCTCTGTCACACACACACACTCTCTCTCTCTCTCTCACACTCTCTCTCTCTCTCTCTCTTTCTCTCTCTATCTCACTCATTCGAAACCTTAATCTCAAACCCACTTCGATCCAGATCCAGTGCGTCTTCACTTTCGCCAAGGTTGCCAAGGTCACCATCCTCAAGGACCATCGCTCTGTCGTCCTCCATCGTAGTACCGCCGTAGCACTTCCTCTACCATTCACCATCGCAGCACCGCCGTAGCACATCCTCTCTCGCTTCTCTCCTCCTTCTTTTCTTCCTCTCATTTTTTTTACTATTCTCTCTCTCTCTCTCTCTCAATTTTGATAGTGAAACCCTAGCTAATGCCTCGAGATATGGCGGTGTTAGCCATGTTTCAGCGTAAATCTGACCTCCGTAGGCCGAGATCTGAGTCGATCCACATGGATTCATAAGCGATCTACACAAATCTGTGTATATGTATACATGTATGTGTGTGTGTGTGCGTGTCTCTATCTGTCTCAAAATTTTTTTTTGGTAGTTGATATGTTGTGTATGTGTATGTTTATCTGTAATTGTAGTTATTTTGGTTGTTGATGTTGATTTTGATGATGTTGATTTTGATGATGTTGTTGTTGATGATGTTGATGTTGATGAAAATGAAACAGGTCGGGTCGGGGATTTTGATGATGTTGTGGTTGTTGATTTATTGTGTATGTTGTTTTTGTACGGGGATTTTTCGGGGTCAGGGATCCCTGATTCCCGTTAGGGAGTTGGAGCGAGGGGGTGATAGGTTCCTTGCCGAGAATCAAGAGAGGGGTGGGGAATTTAATACCTTCGGGGATCGGGGACGGGGAGTGTAATCCCCCGCTCCGTCCCGACCCGTTGCCATTCCTGGAGTAGCGGTGGCAGCGGAAGAGGGTGATGAAACTCTAATGGTGGCATGATGGAAAAGACACAGATGAAAGAGAAGAGGAAGAGAGAGAGAGAGCGGGATAGGGAGAGAAACGATTTAAGGATGAAGGTGGTCGGTAATGAAGAGAAACGATTTGGCAATGAAGGTGGTTGGCAATGAAGGTGAAGATAAGAGAGAAGAGAGAAGAAAAAGAGATGAATGATGAGATATGTAAAGAGGAGAAAGAGAGACAAATGTAGAGATCCTCATTCTTCAGGGAAAATTACACTAAATACAGATGGGTGTCCATGTGGAGATCCAAGGGAAGGAGGCTTCGGTGGAGTTTTCTGCGATGAAGAGAGAGTCTGGCTGTATGGTTTCTTTGGAAAACTCGAGAACTGTTATAGCC